TAATTTAGGTCAGCCTAAAGTTGAATTCTATTCGGCTCGGCTGAAGTACGGCGTCTTAATTCCCCTTAGCTGAATGGAGTTAAATGAAATGGCTTGATCAGCTTTTCAGTTGATGGAATGAATCGGGTTTGGGCCGGGCCGCAGTATCACAGAGCGGCGGTAAATCAATGTGCCAAAATGCAACCTCTCGTTCTTTCTATTTACATGCTACATGACCGCTTTGCTTCTAAATAGAGTGGCGAGCAAACTCCAAATCGTAACCCTCAGTCAGTCTTGTTGTGAGGTTTCTGCCAGTCTCACCGATGTAGGAGGCTTGGCAGTCGGAACAATTGATCTTATAAATCGTTCCCTGTCTGTTCCTCGGTTCGTCTTTGTCTTTAACGTTGGTTAGTAACTGACGTAGTGTGGTGATGGGTTTGTGGGCGACGCGGATATTGAAGGGTAGTAAGATGCGCGAGATGTTTTCAGACATGCCTTTTATGTACGGTATGGTTGCTGTAGTCGTAGGGGTTGCGGTGTCGTTTGTTTCGGTAGTAGTAGTGGGTCGGTGAGTGTTTCGTCGGATGAAGTCGTTGTTGTAGTTGTTCTTCGTAAAAACACGGTGAAGGTATTTCTTCTCGTCGGATAAGCTGTCTGTCGAGTCGCATACTAGTTGTGCGCGTCGTGTTAGATTTCTGATACTTGTGGCTACATCACACAAAGCCACAACTATCAGAATTCTACTGTCGATGTCTTTCTTACCACACTATCGACTTCAAAGAAAGCGATTCTAGTTAGAGCGTGACAACTTGTGTAACAAATTGAGGCGAGCAACGCTGACTTTATTCTTAATGGACAACGCCAAATTGGCCAATCAGATCGCTACTTTACCGCCGATGTTGGTGAAAATGTGCTTCTCCGTTTTGATCAGTACTGGAAATAAAGAGGCGACTGAAAGTGCAAAAGGCTGTTTTTTTCTCATTTCAGTAGAAAAAAAAAATCAGCAATGAAAGTTTCGATTTTGGACAGCGAAGATATCGAGAACTAGATTAAAGAATAGTCAAATTCACTTTCGTTGCAAACAAGATAAAGTTAGAGATAAGAAATTATTTATTCATTCCAGACCTTACCTTCCCCTGCCTCCGATTTCAAATCAACAGTTAGTCTCCGTTTATGATAATTGTTTTAAAAGTATATGGAACCAAAATGCCTCTAGGAAAATACGTATGATCAGCCAATTAACAGCATGGATTTTCCCCCTTTTTTGTTCATTTAGCTATTTATTATTATTATTATTATTATTTTCTACGGGAAACTTAGTACGACAGAAACTGTAATTGAAAAAAAAAACAAACAAAATTCGAAATTGAGACGTCACTACCGTTGTCTCTTATCTGACATATTCGTGGGAGGGTTATAAAGGAGAAGCTCAAAAACCAGCTCAAATGGATATATCGAAAAATTTATGTTGAAAAAAATGTTGCTGCACTTAACGTTAATTTCTCCATCTATGACAGAGCTGGGCTTTTTCAGAAAAATATACGCAATTAGACGATGATCCTCTTTCAAATAGTGGACTTGCCAGTTGATTTGTATTCTCGTTTTTCCTGTAATCACAGCGCAGTTGTCATTTACCACCAGTTGTCAGTTACCACAAAATAGATACTTGTGTATTTATAAAGCAATATTAGAAAGTTCTTATACTACTTTCAGTACTTTTACTATTAATTACAACTAGTAAATTAATCTCAATACACTATCGTACTCGCACAGTCACTTGCGTCCTGATGTCATGGTTTGGCTTATTCTACTTCAAACTTACTTTGTGTGAAGGCTATTTTTGAATGCGCCTATAAGAATCATTTTATCACTAGCTATTATTTCTGATAATTGTGAACTGCTTTCCCGAATTTGGCCTGATAAGTACAATTCCAATACAAACAGCATAAACCCGAGCATATTTTCTGAATATTACTTAACCCAACTGATATGGTTGCTCTATTTTTCTGGCGCGAAGTGCTGACAAAATTTTATTGGGCTAAACCAAAAGTCTTTGCAAAATTTGTCACCGCCAAATTTTTATGTCAA